CTGATAGCTCAATGACTTTTTTCATTATGCAAATTTATTCATAGCAAGCTATTACTTTTTTTAATTCCTTGTCTTGTAAATAGAAGACCTTCTCATTAGTCTATTCTTTAAAATTTGTAACCTTTTTTTACAATTGAGCAGAGAGCTGTCAAGTTTGCAATTATAATATGCTTTACTGTTGCATCTGGATCTGAGATGCCAGATTCTTCAATAAGCTCTCCTATTCTTAACTCTTTCTATGCGAGTCCAACAGCTCTTTGGCATAATCAATCAATTTCAAAATCTTAATGGCTGGCAAAATTAGCAATTTCTTCTATTAAAGGAATGAAGTATTCAGTTTTAGCATTGTTTCATCTTACTTTTGGGAAAAAAAAAAAAAAAAAAAAAAAAAAAAAAAAAAAAACTTTTTTTCTTCAAGACAAACACTGAATGTTTTTAGCAAATTTCAATCCAAAACTCTCCAATGACTTTTATAACACTTAATATATTGTATTATTTGCAAACGCCTAATAAACACCTTATTGTTTTGGTAATTGAGTTATTCACATGTATATCATTGGCTTACGCAAAATGGTTGTATTTGAAGGGGAACGAAACTTCCACACTTGGGTCGAAATTAATTTACTCTCTGAGTGACCCAGCTTTTTGAATCTGCTCATGAAGAACAATATTTAAAGAGCATTTATTAATTAAATTTATCTAATAGATTATTTTATTCTTTGCTTTCAGTCTTCTGTTCAATAAGATGGTATTTACATCAGCTTACTGAATACTACATCATCTTCTGTGTAAAAGAGAAAACCAAATATTTTAAACAAGAACGTAAGATATTACTTAAAATTGCCAATATGTTACAACCAATATAGGTAGTCATGCCACTCTAGAGTTAAAGTGGTAGGAGGGTGACTGGGTGCATTATTAATAATCATCACTTTACACAGGATTTATGTAGATATGCCATAACACTAAGATTTCAGGTATAAAGTGATGACCAAATTAGTCCTAAAAATCAAAAGCTTTTTAATTTGATTTCCAAATCAATGCAATATTAATTTCTTTCTTTGCTTTTCCTCTTGTATCTTCAGAGGTTTTATTTGCACTCACATGTTGCGTTTGCACCAAACACCAGTGTTAATGAATTAATCTTTAAAACCCTTAATATTGGATGAAGCTAGAGGAGAAACTACGAAACTGCATACTTCTGAGTTTGCTTACTAAATAATGATAAAAATTAAGCACTTATAATATGTTTATTGGTTTATAAACTGTACTTAATAACCATAATAACAGAATCATTTCTACTGATTTCATTTCACTTACATGATATCTATATATAACTTTCTTTTGCATATTTGATTCAGATTTTAATGATTTGCCAGCTGTTTTTTGCCATCAGCTTATAGTCTGCAACCCATAGTTTGGGTACCACTGGTATATACTAATTTTTAATCATACACACCTGCACACAGATACATTTTGTGCCATGAAATAAAATGAAAATTTTACATTTGACAGAAAAACAACGGCATTCAAAATTAAAGGTTTATTGCAAAAATATGCAGAGACTGATAAAAAGTACCTTAATTGGCTCTTAGGTTGAAAATAATCAAGTTCTAATCTTCAAATGAAAGACATTAATGAGATAAAGGCGAGAAGTGCTGAATGCTTGCTAGACTTGAGATGGGCTGAATACAGTTAAAATATTTTCAGAGCTGAACATTCTCTAAAGCATAATCTGAAGAATCAGAAACTGCTTTTTAAGTATAAAAATGTTTAGTTGTCTTGCTAGTGAAGACTGTCTATGTCTAATTGCAATATGAAGAGTGTCAAGGTCATTTTTACTATAAAAGAAATATACTAGAAGATAGTTGGCTTGGAGTCTTTAAGCAGCCACTGGATTCAAATAAGCAGACCTGATGCTTACCGAAGGTTTTCCAAGCATGCTTATTATATGAGATTATGATGCTGCTTCCCCCCTTTTTTTTCATCTAGAGGAAAGCCTTTAATATGGCATTATCTTCATCATATATGCAACTAAGACCAATTGATCTAAGTACTATTCATGGAAGGACCCCTGTTCAGTTTAAGTAGTGATTCTAGATATATTTTCTTCTGGAGACAGGCTGAAACAAACTTTGCATCACATATCTATAAAAAATATTTTGACAGTTTTCTCATTGAAGAATGATCATCATGGCTGAATCAAGCTCCATACCCATGATGGAGGTTTGCACAGAGATTGTGTCTTCATGTCTTTTACTGTGGATAACAACATTAGGTCTCAATAAGCTGCCATGACTGAATACAGGGTTTGTAGTCACATTTTAGTCAAAAAAATAAGCACCTATAAGCCCTTTTCAAGCACATTTTAAGAAAAAAATTAAGCACCTGTCTAATTACATTACACACAACTGCATAACCTTAAAAAAAAAATTAGACTTATAATTTAAAATATGAAAAATTCAGCATTTATTATTATTTTATTTATTAAGAGAGAATGAGCCTTATTCAACATGGAAAACAATTACATTATTTTTTTTAATTTTAAATAACAGTTAAATTTACAGAACTAGTTTACAATGAGAGAAAAAAAAAACTATGCAGAACTAAATTATATTACAAGATTTAATGATGAAATTTCAGTTCAAAATTGAGAAAATAAACAAGATATATATATTATATTCGCTTGGCACCTAAAAATAAGTACAATTTATTTTTCCACTCATACTAATATTTAAATAATTTAACTTAAATCAAAATTCTGAACATTTTCTAAATTTTCATTGTATAACAATTTTCCCTTAACAGATATTGCAAGCAAAGTAATTTAAGTAAGAAAAAGGAACTTTTCTGAAATTGGAACACAGGAAATTGCTTCATGCAGTCATCCTTTAACAGTAAAAGCTTAACTAACTAGCATACTCGGAAACTGCCGAATATCTGAAAATTCTGAATAGTAGAGCGTAACTGATAAAATAGGAAGGGGGATAGATTGTAATTTTTCAGCCAAATAATGTTTTTGATATTTCGATATGTGCATCATATAAAAAACAGCCCAATGGAACTGACAAATAATCTGCTTAGCAAGCACATTAAAACTCTTTTATCTCTGCGAAATATCAAAAACATTGTTGCGCAATACGTGCGCCTTAATTCTTCCACACGTGATATTACGCAATCGGAATCAACAGCTGCCAGTATTCGGAATAAAAATAAATAAAAGAAATCGCCTCTTTCCTTTGCCTTCGGTTTTCACCGTTTTATGCGCCATGCTTTCATGTGGCATATTTATCATTGAGCAGGACACATCGCTCTCCGTGCGATATCCCTGTCATACTCATATTGATTAATAAAGAGATTTACCAATATGGGGTGTCTTTCATTCTAATTTTGAACAGATTGTGTTAAATTTCCAGAATAGAATCATTCTTTGCTTGGGTTGGCAGACCACAGAACTTTTAGTCCTATTCAATCCAGGTTGGAAACTGACCCCTTCCCAAAAAAAAAAGTTCGTTGCTTGCTTTTGCTGCGAACTGTAACCTTCAATATTCAAGATTTTGCGGAGAAAGGGAAGAACCCCTAACTTCCGTACTGTATAATACATTTGCAAAAAAATTTTTAAAAATATATATATATTTTGGCTATTCGATTACTTTCACTTTATTTATGCCATTCCGAATATTATTCCTTAGAAAACTAATCTTGTTCAAGCACACTTACCCATTTTTGAAGTTTATCTGTACTTCAGCGGTTACTACAAATATATTATTATAAATGTTCATACATATGCTCATAATATAAACATACGGACCATAATAAATGCGAATATGAACTGATCATGCGAAACAAGAATGTAAATTATTAAAATCGTGATAGAAATTCAAACGTGTGTAGTAGGGTGGGAGCAAAAGAATACAGAATGTACTGGAATTTTCTACTGCTTTCGCAATTCTTTGACAAATAGAATGATGTGCACCTGTCTGTACTCGCATGCACCAAAGGTTGTTAATGCAGAAAATGGGCAAAAAGCTATTTCTGGGAGTATGATTCAAATTCTGACTTTCCATATAAGGAAGAAAAGTTGTTTATTTAGTTTTGGCTTTGGTATGAAAAATGTGCATATGAAAAAAAGCACTAAAAGCAAAAAATAAGCACTAACCCCCCAAAAAATAAGTGCTTTAGAAAAAAGCAAGCACCTATAAGGACTTTTATATTTTATTTTCAAATATAAGGACTTATAAACACTTGTAAGGACCACTACGAAACCTTTGAATACCTTAAAACTGAGAACATTGTCTGAATGGATTGATTATGATACAGTTACCTGGCTTCAAGCCTATTAAATAAACCTAAGATATCTTAGGTGATATCTACCATAGCTTAGGGGGCTAAGATATCTCTGCTGAGATATCTTAGGTTGGAGGCTAAAATATCTATCCCCCAACCTAGGATAAAGATATCTTAACCTAAGATAAAGATATCTTAGGTTGGGGAACCTAAGATAAAGATATCTTAGGTTGGGGGCTTGCGTTACACCAGCTATCCAAGGTGCGTTACACACCTTGGAGTTTTCCATGAGCTTAAATCTGTTATCTTGTAAGAATTACGATTAACCTCCCATGAATTACTTAATAACTATAAACAGTACAGAATGATAAGAAGTGCACTTCACTAGTAATCACATACATTATTTGAATATGGAGATTATACAATTCCCCATTTTAAAAATTTAATTTGGCAATAATAGTAATATTTTAACATTATTCAATTTGTTAAACAAAGTTTTAAAAATGTTTACAAACAATTTCTAACATTCTTTTGCCTAATAAGAAATATTTATTTATTAGCCATTAATTTTGAACATAAAAGACTGCATATGATATTATGGTATAGGTAAATGTTGGAACTACAACTAGATTAAGAAAGAAAGATTTTAAATTGCTATATTAATGTGAAATACAGAATTAAACATAAGCATAAACATTTAAAGTAAATATTACCTCCACTCATAAGCTTCATTGAAGTCTACAATGCTTTTGTTGCTTGTTAATTTTAGTATAGCTTGGATTATTGTTTCTTTGTTGAGTGTTTTTTTCTGAAAATAAAGATCAACAATTAATAACAATATTGTGAATAGAGTTTTTCTGACTAAAGAGAAATAAATATTTGAATTCTTCAGGAATTTGGACACAAGAATGAGAGTGATATATAGCTGTTGTCTATTTTTTAATTACAGAATAAGAACAGCATGACAACTTAAAAAGTTTGAGATTAAAATTTAACTCCATACTGCTGAAAATTTTTTGGTGTAATGTTATGAATTCTGAGTGGATCTTTCTTCAAGGAGAAAAATTCTGAAAACACAAACACCTAAAATTTAAATCAATAAAAGCTTGAATTTTACCCAATTTAAATACATATAATGAAGCATACAAGGTTACTCGATACCTTAATGCTCATTATTTCCCACAGATGCACACAAAATTTCAATCATTTTGTCAATAATTTAGTCTTATGGCAAAGCTCTAGAAGAACATCTGTATTTCTATAGATACACATCCAAAGTATGCAAAAATACATTAAAAAAATTAACTATAAGTAGGTCAACGGTACAAAATATATACCAGCCCTTAAAATTCAGAATTTCACTCTAGATTTTCTTAAAGCATCAAGTTTGTCTTCTTAGGGTCCATGAGTTACAGTTCATGCAAAATTCTTTTACATACTGCCCCTGAAAGGGTTCATGTGAGCATTTCTATGTGAGCTTTTTTCCATGCCAGCATATTTCTAAGTGAGTATTTTTCCATATGAGCTTTTTTTTTCTATGTGGGCATATTTCTGCATGCATTTTTTTCCCTGTCAGCATTTATACCTGTGAGCATTATTTTGTAAATATTTTTCCTGTGGTATTTTTTCAGAATCATATATTGATAAGGTGGAATCATTTCTTCATAACAGTCTTTGGAAAATGGCAAAAATTTTCAAACAAAAGGCAAAATGGGCTGAAAGTAAATAAATAAAAATTAAAACGGGCCAAAATCAAAGTACAATTATCTACTAATAAACTAAGCCCTTTTAATGCTGTTAAAATTGGTATTACAAACCATTAGCCTAAAACAGCGGTTCCTTTTGACTAATGCGTACCACCTAAACAAAAATTGAAAAACTTTAGTACCACCACATTTTACAATGATTATTTTTCAGTTTCTGAATAAAAATACTAAAGAAAATATTTTGCCATTTGCATAACCTACTGGCTGTTTGTAGTAAATATGCAAGCAGTATCGATGATCAACAAGGTGTCATTCTCCTCCTCAGTTAAAAAGACTTCACTTTATTAGATTATGGTAAGAACACTACGGCTATCAGCCCACACGAAGGGTCACAATTGTAGAAGACACTCTAAAGGAAACAAAGTTATATATTCACTTAAAAGACTCATTAATGAGGTCATTATCTTTATCTTCAAACTAACTGAAATTTTTAAGCAGAGGAGAATTGCATCCATACATCTGCCAGCGTTATTTGTGTGTATTTATTTGACAAACTTTTGTCTCAGAATTCATGCAAATATGTATAATTCTACCTTTCCCATTCATATCAAGAATATGGTCTTGTAAGTGTATTATCAGCATCATATTTACCTTCAGAGGTAACACTGTTAATTCAAGTCTAAATGATTACAATTTCTTAGAAAGATATGCTACAAATTCAGAAACATTTCCATTTTATGAGCAAGCTTTTTTTTTATAAAATAAATTTTATTAATTTATTTGGGCATTTCATCATTTACTATAAAAACTGCTATACAAACTGATAAAACAATCATTTACACTATTAAAAGTTCCTTGTAGATCTAACTGCTGGCCATTTTACTGTTTCCATTTCCAATAATGGCTATGGTTGCTAAAATCACGTTCTAGTTATGCAATTTTTTATAGAACAGTGAATTTCATTTCATGGATTCTAATACTAAATAAAAATTTCATAAGGCTAAAAACTTCCAAAGAATTTGGACATATACTACAAAAGAAATGGACAGCTGCATTTATTCCCTAACAATTTAGAGTCAATAAATGCAACAGATGATCAGATAGTATAAAGAGATAATTCACACATTTTTCTATGGAACCTTTCAAGGGTTAAAGAGAAAGCAAATCTTCATGCATAAATACTGTTTCTATTGCACATTATATAACCTCTTATGAACATGAATGTCATGTCATAAACACAAATTCATTTTTCACAACAAAACAATAGTGAATATTTAATCTCATGCGAAATTAGTCAGCAACGTATTTTCGAAAAAAAGCATTGCATTTTTGAAAAATATCTAAGTTAACAAAATATAAAAATGCTCACTTCGCATTTTTAAAGAATTTTGGGGAAAATGCATTAACAATATTTCCAGTACATGTGCATAAACAATGCTTTGTCTGAAGTACAATTTACTTATTTATAGTGATATTTATTATAAAAAAATGGTTACATAAAGCAATGAAATGGACAATTATAATTCATACCTGTTAAAGTCAGTATTTTTTAGAAAGTTCTTTTATGGTCCTAATGCTCGACTACTTATTGATTCCCTTTATACTTATCAAAAAACATACTTCAATAGCCCACTTTTCATTTTATCCTGAGTTTCAGTGTATACACCTTAAAACTGAATAAATATTTTATGAAGCTTAATCCGTCATAGAATTGATATGTATAGTAAACCCTTGCTAAGCATAGACTTGTGGAACATAATTTCGTATACACAAAGGATCTTAATTATTCCCATTAATTCTGCCCAACACTAGTTTCATTCATACATGATTCAACATTCAATTATCAACACTGGATACTTGCTGGCATCAGCTCTGTCTAGAAGTTAGACAATTTTAAAGGATTTCAATGACTGAAAATGAAGCCAAAGAAATCACACAAATTGCAAAAGATATTCAGATATGGAAAAAATCTAAGAATTAGTCGAGAAATGATGAATGAAGAATTAATCTCACAGCAAAAGCAATGATAATGTAGAAGATAAAGCACCTTTAATTTATAAGAAGTTAAACGAATTGTTAAATAAGGCTAATGGATTGTCTGATTTTGAACTTGATTAAGAACACTTGATGAAAGGCATTGAAAAAACTTTCTGCTTTTTATCACGAAACTCTTTAGAGTTGGACAGTCACTGTACGAAGTAAAAAGTCATAGCCCTTTTTTTTTTTTTTTTTTTTTTAAATAAATAACTGTATTGCCTACTTATTAAGTAGTAATAAAAATCTTTTCAACATGTTTAATTTTTCTTATTTGAATTACAACAATATTTAGTTTGTTAATCTGAAATATACCTAACACATATTTTCATAGAAATGTAACTTTGTTGAACACGATTTTGCCATACATGCAATGCATTAATGACGTAGCCCCCAGGTTTGACAAGGGTTTACTATACAGCAATAGTATTAAATTCCTGCATCTAAACTAACGGAAATATACAGAAAGATAGCCATTATGAAAGAAAAAATTTTCTCCACTGGCACCTATATCATTAATTACATTTAATATCCTGCCTTTTAAGGATTAAAAAAAAAAACACAAACTTTATTCACTAATAAATATTATGTTTATAAGGTAAAGATGAATTATTAAAATCTGACTTACGTTTTGAAAAAGAGGTGTCATCTCTGACACCTGATCACCTGACACCTGATCTGAAGTAGTTTCTTGCTTCTTCAAATATATATTTTGTATTTTTATTGCTGTAGTTTTGAAAAGTCCGTCACAAGCTTCGATCATTATGGCGGACTTTTCATCTGTTTCATCTTCTTTTTTAATTTCATCCACACTAAGCAGAGATAATGCGTAGTCGTTTTCAAAATTTATCATACGTTCATCAGAGCTCTGAAGTTTTGAATTTTGTTCTGTTTCTTCAATATTATTTTGTTTTTCACTTGTATTACAAGTTACTGAATTTAAAGTCACATATTTATTATCTTCTTCAGCAGATATATTTATTGAAGTTAGTCCATCACATGCATCCACCATGCATGCTGACTTTTCATCTCTTTCATCTTCTTTTTTAATTTCGTCCAAACTCAGCAGAGATAATGCACACTCATTTTTAAAATTTATAATATGTTCAGCAGAGCTCTGAAGTTTTGAATTTTGTTCTGTTTCTTCAATATTATTTTCTTTTTCACTTGTATTACAAGTTACTGAATTTAAAGTCACATATTTATTATTATCTTCTTTATGACCTGTATTATAAGTCACATATTTAGGAATATCTTCATTCCCTTGATCATGTAAATTACATGCTTTTGATTCTTTCATATTCATGTGTGTTGAAATACCACACCCATACTGAATATTACACGTTACTGAATTTACTTTTTTAACTTCCTTCAAATTAAGCAGAGATAATACACAATTATTTTCAAAATTTATAACATGTTCATCAGAGTTCTGAAGTTTCGAATTTTGTTCTGTTTCTTCAATATTATTTTCATTTTCACTTGTATTATATGTTACTGAATTTAAAGTCATGTATTTATTATTATCTTCATTTAAAACTAGATTATTATCTTCTTCATGAAATACTTCTTTATCACCTGTATTACAAGTCACATATTTAGGAACATCTTCATTTAAAACTATCTCTAGTTCACTTGATGAATCTTCAATATTTACAGAATGTTCAGCAGAATTATGAAGTTTTAATTTCTTTCTTGATTGTTTCATCTTGTTTCGTATGTTAGAAGACAATATCAAGTTATATCGTAACTGCCTTTTAGTTAAAGGCGTTACGTTAATACTCGTTTTTATTAGATGATGGACTGAACCATCATTCATAATGCAAATACCAGTATCATCACTGCTTAAAATATAAGATCTTACTGATAAATTTTCGGGAGAGGAATCTACAGCTTTCTTTTGATTCAGTTTTTCATTTGAGCTTTCAACACTAACTGCAGTTTCATTATTAAATTTTTTATCAAAATAAGCATTGAGGTTTATTGTTTTGTTTGATGCAGGTGTGCTTGTAACATTTTTAGAAATCTTCTTTCTTTCAATTTTACAATATTTTTTTTTTGTAGGAGATTTTCTAGCGCTACTAATATTCTTACTTATGTTCTTCTGCTTGCCAATTTTACAATACTTTTTTTTTGTGGGAGATTTTTTTATTTTACATTTACCATATTTAAACTTAAAAAATGGCATTCTCCAATTTGCCAAAATATCAGAGTCATCATTGTTAAAGCCATTTCGAGATTTACTTAGTCCTTGTTCTGAACTTTTTTCTAAATTATGATCTTCACAAACATGAGCTTGAATACTTTTATCTTCATATGAATTACTGTAAAGAAAAGCAAAAATAAAACTGGATGCTGTAACACAATAGCACAATGAAAATCATAAATTTTAATATACAACTTATTAAAAATAAAATGATGCCATCTAAATAACTAATACAACAATGAGGATTATAACACCAATGTTAACCTGTACATCTCAGCAAAAATTTTATAGAAAGGTTGAATTCATATTGATGCTTTCAAGTAGGCAAAGCTATTAAAAGTACACAGACATGTTTTGTCTTGAAGGAGAACACAGGATGTACTTGGATTCTTTCTCTCTTCACTACTATGTCAGCAAAAGAAATCCAGTACAAGCAACATCCAATTCCAAACATATTTTGGAGTAATGAACCTGTAAACCAATTGTAAGTGTTAAAGTTTTTATTTAATGATTACATGAGACAGAAAAATGTTAGCCCCAGGGCCGAAAGTGTGGTTATAACCATCATCAATCAACGTATTGTCTCTCGCCAGGGTGTGATTTCCAAACCAACCAGGTGTTTGGAAGTGATTTACACGAATCTTGGGGGAAAAAATGCTTCTACAGCACACCTAGCATTATATTCTCCATTTTAAGGCCAAAGAAAAATTTCTTTAAATAAATCTGCCTGTAGTCCAGATTTTAGATCATTCTGGAAATTGAACATTTCAATTTCAGACTTTGTTTCTAGTTATATTTACAACAGTTATTCAGAAAGTCTGGAATATAATAATTCTTGCACCCGACAGATGACACTGCTCTGCCTATGATGTATTGCATCTTCAGTGACTAAAGAATGCATCATTATGGAAAAGTTTGCATTGGTGGAACACTGACACGTAAACTGTATGCTTAAGTACAGAAGGTCCCACCTACTGTGAAATTAATTTCGCAATTCACTTTTTGAATGCAAGGAATATGTGACTATGAGAAATTCGCAGGCAATTCCTTAAGGTGTATGTCAATGCAGCTATATTGAGGGAATGATTAGAAAATGGGTTTGATCCGGAAAAATGAATGTGCATGATAATGCAAGAAGCAGCCGGCCATCTGCTTGAATGATGACCTAGTTCATCGAGTTGATGTAAAAATTCCTGTGAATATATATTTCCTGATCTAAAATCTTTTGGTGGGGTTTATTGAAATTTTGCATACCATTCTGTATAAAACTGTTAAACACTTACATAAACACAAATGTGTACACAGTACGTGCCAAAAATGCTTACAGAGGAGCATAAAAATAGACTTTTTTCTGCTGCTTTGACCATTTCTAAGACAATATAATTCTGAGGGGAATGAACTATTGAACCACATTATTACTCATGATGACACTTGGATTTCCCATGTCACATCATCAAAACAACATTCAATGAAATGGAAGCACCTCATCTCACCAACCTGGTTCAAAAGGACCATTTTTACACAAAGTATCGCGTGCAGGACAGAAAAGGTGTCATGCTGGTGGATTTCACACCCAAACACCATCAATGCCACTGTGTATAGTGACACACTAAAAGACCTGTAATGTGCCGTTCAAAACAACAGGCACAGCTAGAATAATATTATTTTACTGCATTAAAATGTCATGCCATGTTCTGCTCGCATGACTCGAGATCTTGCCCAAGTCTTTTAATTGGGAAAAAATGAATCATCTGTCATATACCCTGAACTTGCATCAAGTGACTTCCACCTATTTCCACATTTGAGTGACCAGCATTTTGATGACAAAGCGAAAAATGTCATAACATCCTGGCTAGCCTCAAAGATGGCCATATTTTATGATTCAGGTGTAATGGCTAAAATGTAAACCACTAGTCTGAAAGTAACTCAAAAATATTTTAACAATTACAAAGCTTTACTTTGCATATTATTGTATTATTGTTTTTGGCAACAGCTTTTATCTTTGGAATCCAATTTGTTTTTAAAAATGAAGCTGAGTTTTTGACTACTTCCGAGTTGGTGAATAAAATTCTATTTGATGTCGATATGGTATTTTTTTTTTACTTTTTGTAGCTCAGTCAAACATTCTTAGAACAGTAAGAATTTATCTGCATCTTATTATGTTGCATCAACTGAGGATTCACAACCACCTGATGCAGTTTCTGCGGGTCCTAAATTCTGCTACAAAGCGGCTTCCTAAGTTTTAAATTTTCACCGCCCCTAAACTTTGGATCCCAGTGCTTTTCCTAAACTATAAAAAATTTGGCATCCATTAATTTTGCAATTAGGTGCTTCTCCAAATTCCAAAAATTTTGCCTTCCCTAAATTCTGCCATCCGGTGTGAATAATATATCAGTTATTTTTAACAAATAGCACTAAATGTAATCTTTTGGATTATGAGTTTTATTAACAAAATCTATTTTTACCATATGAAAAGTAAATTTTCCCTCGTCAACATTCCTTAATGCATTTAACTTTAATCTATAATCATTGCCAAGCCTAATGTTAGCATAAAAGATAGTCACACTCTTGTTATTCAATTATTAATATAAAAAAATGTTTACACATTGCTGCATGAGTCATTACTGAAGATATCGTGTATTGATAAACGTGCGGTGATGAAAGCAAATTATAATAAATAATGATTCGCCAGGTTGCCGTCAGAGATATAAAATACTAGTAGGTGTAAAATCAATGCTGTTCCTATGTAGAATATTTTGGTTTAAGATGTATGCCAAGCAGATATGCAGCTATCGAGCTAAATTATTAATCTCACAAATTTATGCTTATGTGATTGTTTCTTCAATAACGAGGTATTTTATTTAGCGCCTAAGTGAAATTAAGAATCGGGATTCTCCACATGTTTTATTATGTAAGGAAAAATCAAATGCGCATGCAATAAAGCACAAAAAAAATTTTTTTTAGGCTTTGAGGTCTGGATTTTGGATTATTCCGGATATAGGACATCCGGATCTCGGACTTCGTACTGCATTTCTTATCTAATTTTATGGTAACATACAACTTTAGTTTACAATGGTCTTTGTGATGCATGTTATTTATTTATACATTATGCAGTTTTATACACAAGCAGAATTTCCATCATAACTCCAGATATATGATTTGATAAATGCTACAGTCAAGTCTTTAATCCGGATTCGTCGGGACTTCGGAGATTCCGGATTATCGGTTTTTTCGGATTATAGATCATCAGTTTAATTCTGGTAAGATGGCATGCAGAAATTATAAAATTAAAAATATGAAACCGTAATTTATGAAATAAAGAGCAATTATGATCTAAACGGTATCAAAATTTACAAAAAGCTTAATATTTATTTGTTTACTTTATTAAACATTTTTTTCAACACGCGCATGCGTAAAGCATACATTACGCATAGTCGAAATTAGAAAATTGCAACCAGAAAACTATTTGATGTGTATTCATGATATTTATAATGACGAGGAATTTGATTTAAAGCATATCAAAGACGGAGTACATCGAGATGAAATACTACATTTAGTAAGAAATTATAAGCCGAATAAAATAAAAACATCTGCCGTGAAGATAAGGATAGTGCTGACAGATCAACTTCCAGTTCATTGCGCGCCGCGAAGTTCCCCCCCCCACAGCCGCAGAGCTGCATGAAATCGATAAACAGATTTTGGAATGGTTAGAGAAACAAAGGATATGCTTTTATCCATTTTTTGTAGCAATTCCCCTTTTTGTTTGATGGACATCGAAACATGCTTTCGCTTTGTAGATCCTTTGGCAGCTCCAGAATCAGAAATTCTTTTTGACATAATCGAAAGTTCAAGCTTACTTTTATAAAATTGCTCTAACAGTCTGCAAAAAATAATAAGCTGGATCCAATTAGAAGATTAAGGAACAACGCTATCTGCACCATTAACTGAAATAGATAATTAGATCATTTTAGCTTAGCTTATACCGTCCGTTATACATTAAAAGCGCATGCGTAAAGGTATTATGCGCATGCGTAAGCGCATAATGCGTTTGCGGACGCGCAGAAAGTTTGTAGCTTTGAGGTTCGGATTATAGATCATTCCGGATTATGGACGTCCGGATTAAAGTCTTTAATCTGTCCATAATCCGGAATGATCTATAATCCGGACCTCAAAGCTACAAACTCTCTGTGCATGTGTCAACGCATAATGCGTTAACACATTATTATATAATGCATGCTCTACGCATGTGCATAATATGTTTACCCATGCATGTTTAATGTATAATGGACGGTATAAGCTAAGCTAAAATTTTCTAATTATCTATTTCAGTTAATGTTGCAGATTATGTTGTTCCTTAATCTTCTAATTGGATCCGGCTTATTACTTTTTGCAGGATTTTTAAAATCCGTTCAGTGGTTGCTTTCCATTATTTGAAGTTCAGATTTTGAGCGTAAGGTGCATTTGTCCCTCGCTCCCTAGTTTAACTTAGCTAATATTTCTTTATGCTTGATCAGATAGCCTAGCTCAGTAAAAGTAGGCGGCCAGTGCAACTATGATTAAAAATCTAGTTATAACCACGTGCAGTGCTGATAAGGACCCCGTGTTTCTGTGACTCCTTCTCCTATTTTCTTCTTTCTATGTATTTCTTTCTCCTGATGAGGAGGGACCTTTAGCTGCCCTCGAAATCGATTGAGTGTTTCATTATACCTACGCTAAATACAAGGTTGTTTTTTTACGATTTTGATTCATGAGCATCTCGAAGCTTTGGGAGTTATTTGAATATTATTTTCCAACAGCTCAAGAGCCTTAATTTAGGCTTCTAAAAAAAGTATTCATGGGTTTAACCCTCAGTGGCAGAGATTTTTGGATCTGCTCATGAAGACTTGTATTTAAACAACATTTATTAGCTAAATTTATATAATTGTTTACTTTAGTTTCTATTTTTACAAGCTTCCATTCATTAAGAAGATATTTAAATTATTAAAGAAAGTAAGGAAGCAAAAGATTTTAAATTATAAGCTAATATGTACAAAGTAAGAAAAAATCTCGGCCCAATAGCGGCCGAGCGGTAAAGTCGCTGAACACTGGTAGTTCGGTCCGAGGTTCGAATCCCACAAA